CCATCCATGGTTCACTTCCTAAAAAGGCCATTTATTTCTGTCTAGAATGATGTACAAATGAGCGTTCTTGCTCATTTTGCCTCCGAGAAATGAGCAAAAATGAGACGGAAAACATGGAATTTCGGGATAATCTTGCACCTAAGTGTTTGATATTCAAATTTCGTTTTTTGGGTCAAAACTACTCATCACTCACGTTGTTACGACTGAATCGAGTTTTCAGTTCTCTATCCAACGATGCCAAAACGAATTCTGTGGTTCGAATGGTTCTTGAGAAACTTCGAAAAAAGCAGCGTCATGTTCAAGTGGATTTTGCAACTCAAAAAAAAACCACGCCAATCCCTTGATAATTTGTTGATTCATTGTTATCAGCGTTATAAAATAAACTGCACCGAACACAATAATATCACACTCAATCATTGATAAATCAAAATCACTGTCAGTTTAATAACGCAATGAGTATTTGAAAAGTTTATCAGATCTACAGATGCACCCGCACTAAGAGAAAAATGACGAATTCAAAGTGCATATGTGCGTCCCAAGCCTCAGATGGAAGAACGACCGAGAAAAATCGGTTCACCCTCCCATAAAAAGTTATCACTTCAATAATAATGAACGTTTCTCATATGGTCGGTACCCAAACTTTGGGGTACCGCTAGTCGCAAGCGGAAAAAAATTGCATGAGAGCAAATGCGAACCAGTCTTATGAAGCTGGAAAGTGTTCGGTTTCTTTTCTGTATAGGTAGATGGCGCGTCCTTCTCTATGTCTCTAACAGATTCACCTTGTCCTGCTTAAAGCGGCTGTAATTACTGCCGAAGTCGTACTCAAAAGGTACCCGCTTCGCGCCTTGGGGAATTTCCCTTTGGCACAAGTGGCACTAACCCAAACTAACCAACATCTGTGCGAACGGTCTCTTTTGGCATTAGTCCTTTTCTCCCGAATTCTAGAGAAAATTTTTGACTCAATAAAAATAAGTTCTGGTTTAAGAATAAAACAGATTTTTCACCAATCCCTTATCAGGGAAGTGGACCATACAGGGGAGAATGACAGAAGCAGAGATGCCAGGTCTACCGACTTTTCGGTAGATACCGATCTACCGATTCCATGCAGATTTCTACCGAAAAATAAATAAAATTTAAAAAATTATCCGTGGATTACTTAAAATAATATAACATATTGCCAATCATGATCAAAGTACGTTGGTAATAGCAGACATTTTATTTTAGCACACCTCGTATTTTAGAGTTCTTTTTCAAACAGAAAATGAAAACATAAATATGATAAAATTATGTTTTATGGATCCTGCGATAGTGAAATCAGCTTCCCTACGATCTATTTCTGATGTTGCAATGATATTTCCAAATTTAATAACTGATAGTGAATTACAAGGTCTGGACATAGAATGACGTCTGTTGCGAAATGCTGAAGAAATTAAAAAACATTCTGGAAATATTGAAGAGTTTTGGAGCCAAGTACAAATATTGAAATATGGAGGTGATACATTCATGTTTCCAATTTTAACCAATTTTATTTGAAACCTGCTTATTCTACCTCACTCATCAGCCAATGTTGAACGGATATTTTCACAGGTTAATCTAATGAAAACTA